TATATTGAAGTCCATCTACATATATATGAATCATCGAGGGGGATGAGTTTAAACCCATAAGGGAGTGACCTCCGGGAGTAACTCAATATTTGTGATTGGAGATCCCATGCAAAAGGTTGAATGTGATAGAAACAACCCGTACTGCATGACTTGTATAGCACTATCTTATTTGTGATCATCCCTATGGTGATATAGTGCTAATAAATGTTATATTAGGAAGGGTTTAACTCTGAATGAGTATCGAGATGACAATTCTCGCGAGGTGTGGGTCATGCACACTCTTGGAGGACTCACCTATATAAGAGTTGCCATGAGATCGTGACTATGGGATTGGGCTATTTCCTAGAAACCCTTACTAGAATCAAAATTATAACGCACGGCCATTAACAGCTCTACCCAAAATGAACTGAGCCTAAATCGATAATATGTGTGAAACAATTGAAGCTTGGTCAAAGGGACATAATTTAAGGCTTAGTCCATTATGACTCCCTCAAATGAAAATTGTTATCACTAAGTGATGTTCAAGTCCAAAAGACACATACATCTATTGCACAGTATAATGTTGCCATTATATATATTTTTTTGAAAATTTAAAACTTGTGGGGGGATTGTTGGAAAATAAATAAATTTAAGTTTTAAATTTTCAAATTAATAATTTGTTGTTTCTTTTTTAATTTCAATTTAATACAAAATTGAATTAATAAAGTGTAACATACATATTAATTTGTGGTTGTAACTTGAAATAAATTTCAACTTTCAAATTAAAATCTTTTAATTTTAGTGTTAACATAAAGTTAAAGGACAATATAACTTATATTTTAATTGGGATAATTCTCATTATTGTGGGGGTTAAAGTTTTACACGATAAAAATGAGTCATTTCTATATTTTGAGATAACAACTTAAGTATTGCTTTATCTACAATTTTATTCTATATTCATACTATTTTGACAACTCAATAAGAGACTCGTTCGCTTTTCTCCCTATGGTCGTGCCAATAGAAGGAGAGCCACATAGGTTTTATCTTGGAGTCATGTAATATCGAAAGAACAACGAAGGGAAAGCAACACGACTTTAGTACAACGTCTTTGTCGTGACTCTCAAGGCTTGCTTTCTTTCTAGCTCTCCTTTCCTCTACTTATATTTTATGTTCATGTTATTATTGAATTCTTATGGTTATATATATATATATATTATGATAAATATCTACACACAAATCATACACTTTTTCCAACAGGAACTGCATATAATTTTTACTGATCTAAAAAATTTAAAAAAAAAAACTTATGATAATGATGGTCTATCATAGGTGCCACATAGAATTAATTTGTAATTGATTATTAATGCTCTTCAATCAATTCATGATAGAGTAGGTATAAGAGTGAAATATAGTGGTGGTGGTAGTTGAAAATTTATCATCTCTATAGGTTAACGTCAAGTATTCACATTGAGTCATTACCCCTTAACTGTAGCCATATGATTATGTTACATTTTCAAAAGAGGCCCGCTGATCTATGTTTGCCAGTGACGTAGTTTTAGTTGATGAGACTTGAAGGGAGTTGTATCATATGCTAGAAATTTGTAACAATAATTTGGAATCCAAAGTTAAAAAAAAAAAAAAAAAAAAAAAAAAAAAAAAAAAAAAAAAAAAAAAAAAAAAAAAAAAAAAAAAAAAAAAAAAAAAAAAAAAAAAAAAAAAAAAAAAAAAAAAAAAATT